AGGGTCATTGTTTATCCCTGGCACTTTGTAAAAAGCTGAATTTATGACAGGACATGAATCTATTTAAGGGCTTCATCCTAGGCAATGCAGAAAACAAGAGTGAATAAACATATGCTTTATGTCCACAGAAGGCCTAACAACAGTGATCCTGTTGAGCTGGATCAGCTCATGAGGGTAGACTTTACTGCAAAGAAGCAGGGAAAATGGCCAGGCAGTAGCAAGATATGGCAGGACTTGCAGGTTGTGTCAGAGACCAGATTCGAGACGAGGGAGAGTCTCCGTGATGGAGGGCTTTGGCCTCAGTGACTTCTGCCAAGAGCGCTGTGCCTAGTGACACGTCCGTGCCCTAACTTACTGACTGGCAATCAGAACCGAAGGGGGGTAACTCTAGTTGATTTTATTACTGGGGTGTAACCTATGTACAAGTGGGATATATATATGGTTACAGCGAAGACGGGTCCGCAATTGGCGGAGCTGAACGGAGCGGAGCTAATGGGGTTTAAACATTAGCTGACTGAATATTACCGACGAGTCGGGTCGCGGGGTTAGCGGAAAGGCAGGCGATAACCCAGAAACGGAAAGGAGGGATAGGCCCGAAGGTGGGCTCTGCAGGGCAGGCGAGTGTATTGCCCAGCAGAGGCGGGAGTGCGCTAGTGGATGTCAGAGCTGTCCGGAAGTCTTCGGGGCTCCGTACTTAGGGAGGCGTAGGTAATAAATTGAAATGAGGGGTGGTGACCATCGAGGGGTACCGAGAGGATTGCGGAATACGGGAGCTCCGAGGTTAGTGAGGGAGGAGCGGAGTTAGACCGGAGGGATCGGAGGAACCGGAAGTTGATGGCCGGGGATGGATATGACAGGTTGGTGGACCAATGGATGGGAATGGTTGACTGTGGGAACTTGGGCTTGCAGGCACATGGTCAGGCACAACACATGGTTCAGAACGACATGAGGGTGTGGATGACAGATAGGTGTTATAGAAATGGGAATTTCTCATTTTAGACTCTTATGGGTGCTGTATCACATGATGTGTATAGTAATTAAGTTTAACCAATCAATTACAACCAAAAAACCTGCTGTGCTAACATCTGTTAACCCTCATGTCTAGCCTCCTTTGAAATCCATTGTAAAACCATATGGACTCGTTTTGAGTAACATCTGAAAAGTGTAATATCTCCCATGGGAGTGTTATTAGAAGGGTCCATGAATGTTCATAGAGGTGTATGGAGGTCCACAGAAGTCCATGACAGTGCATGAACAACAACATACTTGTCAGGGCTCAGCCCTCATTCAGGGGCAGCCTGACCTTGGAGTTGGGTGTGTGCAGTGTTTTGGGCAGTGGGGCACTAGATCCTGCCTGTAGTTCCTCAAACTCACTGAGGGGCTTAGTGAGGAGTGAGTTGAGAAGAAGGGTGAGTTTCCCTATCCCTGCTAAGCTACTATAAAAGGAAGTGGACTGTGCCAGTGTATAGCATGACTGTGGGCAGAAGCCAGGTGCATTCCCACAACTTGGAAAAGGTGTCACATGGGCTAGGTGACATTGTTGCCTAGCCTATGTCACTTTTCCTATGGGTCTGTATGTGGGCTCCTGGTTGTAAATACACATGGAAAAATAGGGAAAAATGGGGAGAGACTGGGGGAGGGGTTTCAGGGTTGTATAGTCAGGTGAGGTGCCCTGACAATACTATAGCAAGTGAAAATATCAGTTGAAATTGCAGGACTCCATAAAATATAGAGACCCATGGCCCAACCAAAAGCCTTTATATGTCTCCACAGGAGTCTGTATACATGTTATAACTATGGGGCTGAATTGGTCCATTTCCATAGGTTTTGGCTGCAGGATAGGGGGTCAGCATAGGGATGATTCTACAGATAATGTGGCAGAGGTTGTGAGAGCTTGGTTTACAATAACATGGTTGGGTCAGGTTTTGTGTGATGATAGTTTGTGTTAGAATGGGTGGATTCAGACAACTCTGGAGTGGAATCGGAGACTTAACGTGGAAGGACCTCAGCCTCAGCAACTCAGGCGGAGCGCTGTGCCATTGCTGGTTGTCCTGGGGGTCCCTAATTTTGGATCTAGCAGAGGGGAAGTCTCTTGGGGGCATTTCAGGTCGATTTCGGACTGAGGTTACAAGTTACTAAGTACATTGTATATAAGGAGGGGTCCGGAATCAAAAGGAGCAAGGGTACTCCAAAAGGAGACAAAGGGAGCTGGAAAGAGGAACAATACTGAGGGTCAAGTGTTTGACTTCAATGGTGTTTCCCAAGGGAGGAATGAAGGGCCAAGGCCCAAGAAGGAAGGAAGGAGGATGGGAGTCGGGAATGGCTAGCTGACTGAATAGAAAGGAAGCAGCAGCCCAAATAGGAATGAGGGAGAATAGCGGAATTGAAATGGACAATGCAATAGTTGCAAGGTCCGGAGTAAGTCCGGAAAGTCCGAACTCGGAGGTTAAACTCCGGAATATTGGCAAAGGTAATTAAATGGAATGGGCTAACCAATACAATGGGTATAAGCGGAGGTGGGGTCAAAGTCCGAGGTCAGAGCTAAGACCGGAGGTTCCGGAGACGAGACGTGAACGGGATACCGGAGCGGAGGTCCGGAGTTGGGAGCATAGGTTTTGCGTACTCATCTGGAAGGTGTCGAGGTTGGGGTCGGACCCGGAATGTTCCAGAGTCGGACCGAAGGTGGTGTCCGAGCCGGAGGTGGGATAACCTCTTGGGAGTCGGCAAGGAGAAGGTGACGGAAGGGAAGTAGGGCTCCGGAAGTCGGAGTTCGGAGTTCCGGGAGCCCGGAGCGGAGGTCGGGATTGTATGGATATGACAGAAAGATGTATTGTTATTAAAAGAGAAACTAAACTGGGTTAGGGTAGGGTACTTGCCTGAAGTGGGAAAGATGAGAAGAAGGTTGCTTCTCCGGTTCCCACTTCAGCTGTGTTTATATTCATGTACCCAGGGTCACATGTGGAGTGCCATGCCACTCTTGCACACAGCTGCAGCCATCCAGGTGTCTCCATGGGAGATCCCAAGGGCATCTGCTGTGGGTGCATGACAGGAGTGCACCCAGGTCATCTGGCATGCCCGGGACCTGGCGCATCATGCATGCAGGTTGTGGGTTAGTAGTACATCGATACAGAGAAAGTTGTCCATGTGTGTCATATCCATGCATACCCGATCCTGACCCGACTCCCGGACCTCCATCTTCACCACCTCCGGAGTCCTACCCTACCACTGCCTGTTCCGATATTCACCTTCGGTCCTGACACCACACCTGACACCACACCTCCTCTCACCCCTCATGCCACCTCCACTTCTCCCTCCTTCTCCTGCCCTATCTCCATCTGCTCCAAGACTCACCTCAGACCGAACACCACTCCTCTCGCCACCCTCCTCCTACTCCTACTCCCACTCCTCCTCTTCCTCCTCACAACACCTCCACCCTTCCATCACTCTCCTACCCTTCTCCCGTCCGCTCCAATACTCACCTTCAGACCTGACACCATTCCTCTCCACTCCTCTCCCCTTTCCTCTCTCCTCTCTCTTTCCTCTGGCCCTCTTCTGCTGACCTTCCGCCAAGTTATGACCTTCCGCTGCTGTCCCGTACCTCATACTTGGACACCGCTTGTACCTTCGCTCCAAGAGTCCATCATAGTTCCTACCTCGGACTTTGACTCCACCTTGGCTTTAGTCCATTGCATTGGTGACCTCATACTATGTAAACACCATTGCCAATATTCCTCAGACTTTCAACCCTGCCTTCATAACCTCCATAACCTCCATAACCCCTGAGCTCCACGGATCACCTTCGGCACTTTTGCTGCTTGTAATGTATCTTTCGCGTTTTCCCCTCATCCCTATTTGGACTGCTGCTTCTTCCCATTCTAGCCAGTTAGTCATCATCCCCACTTCCCCTCATCCTCCTGCCCCTCTGGGCTTCACCCTCCTTACCTCCTTTCGGATGTACCACAGGTTCTGCCCTATGACCTTCGGTACCGCTCCGCTTCTGTCATCCCTTTGTTCCCATTCGGATGCCTTCGTTCCGATTCGGACCCCCTTTGTTTCCTTGTGCTTTTGCCCTCTCCATTATATATATCAGCGCTTGTACATACTCGTTTTAGGCCTTTAGTCTAAAATCGACCTGAAATGCCCCCTAGAGACTTCCTGCTCGCCGCCTATGAAATTAAGGACCAAATGGACAAACAGCAATGGCACAGCGCTCCACTTGAGTCGCTGAGGCCAAGGTCCCTCCTTGCTAAGTCTCCGGTTCCCCTCCAGAATCGTCCACCCTCGCCTAGTTCTAACAATGTGATAAAGAGAAAGAACAAGAGTAAAGAAAGGGGAAGGATGGAGGGGTAGTAAAAAAAAGAGGAAGCAGGGCACTGGGTGGAGCCAGGTGGGCAGGTGTGCCCTGACAGGAGCCCAGGGAAAAACATGCATACATCTCCATCAGTTTTGGTCACAGCAAAATAGTATTGGTGAATATAGACATGTCAGTGCTGCCTGTCTTTAGTAACTTTCATCATTAATTATGGCAATATTTGCTTCACACTTGATTAAACAATGGAAATCCCCCCCTCTCCTCTGACCATCTGCACATCACTGTGGCAGCATTGAGTGTCAAATCCTTGTAACAGAGCAAAATAACAAGCACATAGAAGCTGTTACATAAATGGCCTTTGGGAGTTCATGAACATCCATGGGTGTCCATAGAACCAATGGAGGCCTGTGACTACCCTTGAGAGTCCAGACCTCTGAAACATGGGAGTCCATGAACATCCACAGAAGCCCATGACCACCCATGGGAGGCTGTAAAAGTCATGTAATTTGTCAGAAAATCCATGGAGCTCATGGAGCATCTATCACTTTTCATAAGTTACTGACTCATTTCCCATCCCCTTCCCTCATCCTGCACCTAGAACAGACGAAAATGGGCACCTCCAGCCCCATTTTTGTAACAATAGGACTTGGAAAAGTAACCCCCACAACCATCCGGACCATCAATCAACATGCCTGTCATGCAGCTCTCTGCCCTTATGATCCACTTCTGGATCCTCCCAATCAACCTCGAAAGGCCACAGGAGGACAAATTGCCATGGAACTTGGCAACATGGTGTAATGCTACTGATGTCCATTCTGGCCTCTTTCCAGATGGTGTCTCTTCTCTTCCCTGGTATATTGGCTGGGATATGGCTCAGAAAAATGCAGTCCTGAGACTCTTCGACTCCACATTGAACAAAAATGCACAAGCAGTTTGGAATTTGATGGCACACCCTCCAGCTGACTTGAAGGGTGCAGTGAAGATCTGGACTACCACCTGGAAGAAGATGTGGATCATGCCTGCAGATTCATGGCATCAAAAATGTGTTGTCCCCATTCCATCATGGTGGAGGTGTTAAAAACCCCAGAGGTAGTTGTGGAAGAGGGGGTAAATGCGTGAGTCCGAATGCAGGCGAGGCTCAACTAGAGGGGGTCCGAGGGCTCCGGTAGTGAACCGAAGCTTCTCAGGGAGCCCGGTTCTGCTGGATGGTACAAGAGGCTCTAAGAAGGATGCGGCCTCAGCGACTCGGAGGGAGCGCTGTGCCTCCGTTACGTCTCAGTTAGTCCTTGTATTTCTTATGTCTGAGGTGTCTTGTAGAACAGGGACAGGAATCACTCAGAGGGACTTTGGGTGGCATTTTAGTCGAGATTAGAACTGAGGAACTACAGGTTCTAATCTACGTGTATTTATTAAAGGAGGATGGGGAGGACTTTAGTCAAAGCCCGAAATGACAAAATGGGGAAAACACCGAAAGGTACCGAATGATACCGAGAGGTACCGAAAGGTTCCGAACGATATCTAAAACGGGGAACCGAGGTGTCGGGCCAAGGAGGGCGGAGTTGGAGGCCGGAAAATGAATGGGGAAGACAAATGGATAAAGGGGGTTAGCCGACTGAATGGTAGTAAGAAGGTAGTCGTGCTAAGAATGGGAGATGACTAATAAGTGATAACGTGAGGGAGATCACCGAAGGATGCGGGTAGCTCCGAAAGCGGAGTTGCGTATCCGAAGGATGTTGGGTGACTCAAATAAATGAAATGGGTGGAGGAAGGGTTTAAGGGCATGTCATGGGATGTCGGAGGTCCGTCAGGATATCGGAGCAAATCTGGGATCTCCGAATGTTCCGACTCGGGACCGAGGTTCCGGGATGGGAGTGGCCAAGGTTCGGTGTGCCGCAACCAGACCGGAGCTGAGACAGTCAGGAGGGAAGGTGACTTGGAGAGTGGGGAGGCAAGGTGTAGGGGATGGTGAAGTTGTTAGGAAGGTGTGATGTGGTGGGAGTGCGCGGGGTCGGGATTCCGGGATATGACAGGAGGAGGGCATGGCCACATGCCCTTCCCACCCACCATCGCTAGGGACTTTCCCACAGGATGTCACTGATGTGCTCTTCAGTACAGAGATATCCCTGTGGACCTCAAGCCAGAACACCCAATTCCTCACCTCACCTGTCTTGGCAATCATGGACCAATTGCTCTCAGTTGCTTGGGATCGATTGACTGTCAAGAGCAAGAGAATGGAGAAAGTCCTGGAGAGGCTGGAGAAGCAGGCAGTGGAGAAATTCAAAAGTATGTCTTCCAATGCACACATGAATTACAAAGTATCTCAGTGTCAAAGACCAGATTCTGAATGAGCAAGAATCACTTAGTGTTTCAGAGGGCTGTGGCCTCAGCAACTCAGCTGGGAGCACTGTGCCCATGTCAGGGCACACCCGCCTGACCCAGCTCCACCCGCCTTCACCCAGTACCCCGCTCACCTCCACCCCTCACCCTTCACCATTGTTTCTCACTTCTTGTTCTTCCTTTGTCCTTCTGTTCTTTTTCTCTCTTGCCCTTTCTTCTATCTTTTTCTACATGGACGACATTCCCCCTTATCTATGTATTATCGACCTGCCTGCGACATGTGCATGACGCACCCAGCCCCGGATGACCCGGACAGCCTCATGGTGCAACCCAGCACACACCCTCGGGATCCCCCGTGGGGACACCTGGATGACCGCAGCTGTATGTGGGGTGACATGGCAAACCTCATGTGACCCAAGCTGCATGTACATAAAAGTACCTGGGGTGGGAACCAAAGAAGTAACCTTCTTCTCATGATTCCCACTTCAGGTAAGTAGCATAGCTTCCTTTTTAATAACAACTCACGATTCCCACTTCAGTCTGAGTGGCCAGGGATTGTCATCCCAGATCGGGCCCATCACTATGCATGCCCGCTCTACACTTCGCGATGGCCTCAGTGCCGGGTGTTACACCTGGACCCCCTCGACCCTGGACGCATCCCTGACAGCCCAGTAACATGTTGGTGCCCTAATTTACAGACTGGGGAGTCTTCTGGAGGAAACTTTAGTTGATTTTCTAACTGGGGTTTCCAGTATCTACAAGTATAGTATATATAGATACAACTGGAGTCCAGGTGGCAGGCCCATAAATGGCAGGGACTGGGTGGAGCTGACATAACAGGGTCAAGGGTTAGCCAACTGAATATTACTGGCAACTCAGGTTACAGGTTTAACGGATAATAACCCAGAAGTGGAATGGAGGGTGCAGTCTGAAGGTGGACTTGGAGGGTAGGTGTCATATCCATACAATCCCGACCTCTGCTCCAGGCTCCCGGAACTCTGAACCTGACTTCTGGAGCCCTACTTCCCTTCCATCACTTTCTCCTTGCTGACTCCCAAGAGGTTATCCCACCTCTGGCTCGGACACCACCTTCAGTCCGACTCCGGAACATTCCGGGTCCGACCCCAACCTCGACACCTTCCAGACGAGTACGCAAAACCTATGCTCCCGACTCCGGACCTCCGCTCTGGAATCCCGTTCGCGTCTCCATCTTCGGAACCTCCGGTCTTAGCTCCGACCTTGGACTTTGACCCCACCTCCGCTTATACCCATTGTATTGGTTAGCTCATTCCATTTAATTATGTTTGCCAATATTCTGGAGTTTAACCTCCGAGTTCGGACTTTCCGGACTTATGTCGGACCTTGCAACTATTGCATTGCTCCATTCAATTCCGCTATTCTCCCTCATTCCTATTTGGGCTGCTGCTTCCTTTCTATTCAGTCAGCTAGCCATTCCCGACTCCCATCCTCCTTCCTTCCTCCTTGGGCCTTGGCCCTTCATTCCTCCTTTGGGAAACACCATTGAGTCAAACACTTGACCCTCGGTGTTGTTCCTCTTTCCATCTCCCTTTGTCTCCTTTTGTCTTACCCTTGTTCCTTTTGATTCCGGACCCCTCCTTATATACAATGTACCTAGTAACTTGTAACCCCAGTCCGAAATCGACCTGAATTCCCCCCAAGAGACTTTCCCTCTGCTAGATCCGAAATTAGGGATCCCCAGGACAACCAGCAATGGCACAGCGCTCCGCCTGAGTCGCTGAGGCCGAGGTCCTTCCACACTAAGTCTCCGATTCCACTCCGGAGTCGTCCGAATCTGCCTGGTTCTAACAGTAGGCAACTAAATAGCCTGGCAGAGGTGGGGGTGCACTTGCAGATGTCAGAGCTGTCTGGAGGCCTTCAGGGTTCTGTACTTAGGGAGGCATAAGTAATATATTGAAATGGGGGGGTGGTGACCATCGGGGTAGTCGGAGGGGATTACAGGATTTGGGGGCTCCAAGGTTGGGAATGGCAGAGTGGAGGCAATTGGGGATGCCTGGAGGTGATGGAAGGTGGTGGTGGGAGATGGATATGACACTCAGCTCCTTGCTTCAGCTTCCCAGAACTCCAATGGCTCTTTGAAGATGCTCCATCAAAACTCACTGTTCACATGATCAAGGCCACGTCCCAGATCATCAACAATTACTCCCTTCATGCCCAACTTTTCCCCAGTGCCAATTGCAAAAAGTGCATTGAGGAGATGAAGGGCATGTTGTTTGCCATCCTTGACATCAAGGTCCATGAACATGTTATCACAATAGACTGTACAAGTGAGCATGGCAGTGCAAAGGCCAGATACCTTGACTCACTTCTGTGCCTTGCAGAATTTGACACCAGCACACTCAGCATCTTGAAGAAACTGGCCACAGTGGAGCAGCTGATAGAGCTGGAAGCATACTGTGCTGGACTATTTCAACTGATGGCTGAGGGATGCTCAATCAAAGATATTTGAAACACCCATGATGCAAATCAATGCATGGATGCTCTGAATGATACATGGGGAACTGAAGATCTGGGGATGGGACTGTCAGATACACAGCGAGGAGGGCAGTGTTCCTGGACCTTTCCCTGGAAGGAGGCTGGAGGTAGAGAACGGGCGGAAGGACAGCAGCTTCAGCCACTCAGAGAGGAGCGCTGTGCCTATGTTTGATAATGCTTTAGGAGTCTGGTCCTTAACTTCAGAACAAGAGGGCACGAACTCTGGGGGGGAATCTAGTTGTCGATTTTGCACTGAGGTGCCATCAACTGCAGTACAGGACTTATATACATAATAGAAGACAAATAGGAACAAAGGGGAAAACCCAAGGGGGACTTACCCACTTGCTGGGTCAGTGAGCTCATGAGAGAATCGCCTTATCGAGCGTTGTGGAGTGGGTAGGTGAAGGGTGGAATTAGCGACAGCTACTGGAGAGTGGGAAAACCTTTGCGGAGTGGGCAGAGGTCCTAGGAGGTCTGTAGTAATATTGGGTAGGTAGAAATATTAATAACATATAGGGTGAGGATAAGAAGTACCAGAGAAGGTACCGGAGATCAGAGGGTATGGCAGAGGTGCGGGGGGAGGACAGACCAGAGGTGGACTGGAGGTGTGGTGGAGTAGAGCGGAGGTGAGGCAGAGTTGGTATGGATGTGACAGGGACCAGCAAGACAGATACTGGATCTGGAAGCAGTCTGGAGCTCAATGACCCACATTCAGATTGTCAACTAGGTTTCTTGGCCACTGAATGCGACAAAATGCAGTGCTACACATCATGGGACCCCCAATTCCAACAGAATAGTAATAGGAGGAAGGCTGGGAACATTGTTCCCTTGACCCTTCAAGAACAACAACTAGATGGTATTTACAGCATGTGCCACATGCTGTTTACTCCCACCCCTGGATGGAAATCTTGTATCCTTGTAGCCAATGTGATGGGGGTCGTAAAAACTGGGTAAGTCTCTTTCTGTTGATTCATTCCCATCCATAGGCAAGCGTTGGCATTCATTTCCCTGATGACCAGATCTCAAGACAAAGAGCTGGAGCATTGCCCTCAAAGGGCACAATCTTTGGTATATAACTCAAAATTTGACTTTTTCATATCTTGGTGAGAGGATGATTCCAGTTGGACCTCATGTCATTGTTTGTTCTGTCTCTCTTGTCGAGAACTGGCTGAGGGAAGCTTACATGTGGTTCCTGTCAGGAATGGTGGATGTTATGGTGTACACCAAAGAGACCCAGAAATCATTCTGGGGGGAAGGTGGGATTTGGAGCAAGTTAAAACTCTCATTGGAACACCACATCATCATCATGGCAGACTCTGTGAGTTCACAAGTGAATTGCATCAAGTTGGACCCTTCTCACATGTTCTTCAGACCTATGACTCAGAGTACCAACAATTGTACTCTAGGACTAAGAGTGTCACAGCAAAAGCATCTCACAATGATTGAATCTGTGACGCTCCAGGAAAGGCACCTGGTTATGAGTCATATGTTAAACAGACCATATTCCAATTGAAGCCAACC